AGGGGTGAGAGGCCAGCACCAAAGCAAGGCCCTCACTGCCCATATCTCTGTCCTGGGGCTTTCAGAGGGAGAGCCTTTGGGATGGGCGACACACACAGGGGACCAGGGAGCAACAGCTCAGAGCCAAGCTGTCCCATACACATCCACATTTGCCACCTCTAAGAACTGGGTAATTCAGGGGGCACCCTTCAATGAGAACAGCAAACTAAAAGTCACGCTCTCCTCCTGCTCGGAGAAACCCTATCGTTTCCAAGCTGGGAAAACTGTCACCCTGTTTGTCTGTTTTTGTTCTTCCCCAAACAAAAATTTTTAAAATTAGTCACTCTCCTGTTCTAGCATCTACAGGCCCTCACTCTCCTCTCCCCTGCACTTTGGGGTTTGCTGTCTCCTATGTCCAGCCAGGGAGACCCAGTCAGTAGACACTGACATACAGGGTGTCCAACACTCCAGGAAGGTACGAGCACTAATGCATCCCGGATACAGCCACTCACCCACAGGCGAGGCTCCGGATCCGCCAGCCACAGAGGTCCTGCACTGCTTTCGGGTACATGGTAGACTCTCGGGAGGTATTGGTGGCCCCCCAGAAAAACAGGCCACCTGGAAGAAAACAAAGGATATTAGTGTCACAAGCAAGCACCTCAGGACAGCAAGGTGAGGGACATCTGTTTAAAAGGACACTGCTGACAGAGAGCCAGGGACAGGCATGGCTGTGGGCCCTGTGGTATCAGCTATCCCTGGGAAGGAAAACCTTGCACCGGACTCCAAGCATGGGGATCTGGGAAGCTGGGCAGGAGACACAGGCACTGACCCACTTCACTGACAGCGAAGGAGCAGGTGTAGCCAGCGTAAATCTGGGTCGCGCCACGTCCAGGGAAGTCAAACAACTTTACCAGGCGAGGTACCATCTCATCCTTCTGCTCAGCGTGGCCTAATCGGCCATAGCCACCAAAGCCCCAGGAGAAGACTCGCTTCTGTGAGTCCAGGACCAGCTGCAGTGAGAGGAGACAAGGCTGGGACACATGGTCCACCCTTTCTGACCAAGGATCGGGACAGCAGCGGATGGTAAAGGAGAGGAATGTCACAGCCTATGCAGCAGCCGGCAGGGAAAGGCTGCTGCCCACACAGGCGAGGGGGGCACAGACCTGCCTTCTCTGCGTCTGTGAGGTTTCATATCTAAATAAACCCCGTCAATGCGCAACCAGCCAGCCTCTGCATGGAGGGTGCAGAGTTCAGGGCTCTAGCACCTGCCCAGCATGCACAAAGCCCTGGGCTACATATCCAGCAGTAAAGAACAATAGCACAGGCTGCCCCAACAAGAAAAGAGCATCCTGGCTTAGGGCTTGCAGGTATTTAATCCACGAGCACCATCAAGCAAGCAAGAGAAGCCCTGGGACTCAACGTTCCTTTCTGCTGCCAAAGCAAAAAGCCCAGACCAGGCCCACTTACTGACAACAGAGATTAAAATGGGTCAATGACAGGCACACACAGACAGCTTCTTCCCAGCACCAGAGGCAGAGGCAAGTGGATCTCTTTACATTTTGAGACCAGCCTGATCGTCATATAAAGTTATAAGACTAGTCTTAAAAACAAAAAGCCTGAGGCAACAGAGATGACTCAGTGGTTAAGAGCACTATCTTCTCTTCTCAACACCGAGTTCAATTCCCAGCAATCACATGGTGGCTCATAACCATCTATAATGAGATCCGGTGCCCTCTTCTGGCGAGCAAAGGTACATGAAGGCAAAACACTGTATGTAATAAATAAATCTTAAAAAAACAAAAACAAAAAAAGCCTGCACACACCTGTACAGTGTACAGCTACAGTGTACACACCTGTAACACTAAGGGAGGCAGAGGCAGGTGGCACTCTCTGTGAGTTCAAGGACAGGCTGGTCTACAAAGCAAGTCCAGGACAGCCAAGGCTACGCAGAGAAACCCTGCCTCAAAAAACTGAGGGGAATGGAGGAGGCCCCAAACCAGGAAAACAACAAAACCAGAGGGCCAGCAAAATGGCTCAGCAGGCGAGAGCACTTGTCGCGCAAGGCTGATGGCAAAGTTTGATTCCTAGGACACAGGTGGAAGGAGACTGTCCTGTCACTTCTATACGCACGCCATGAGTATGTGTGCACACGCACACACACAAAGCCCAAAACGGCGAAAACACACAGGTTATCCTTCCGCAGTTACTCTGCTAAACAATGTTTAAGGTCTTGAGACACCTTCACTAGTTAGCCATTCACACCTAGGCAAAAGGCACTGTCACAGACTCCATGATGCATGTGGGAGTGGCGGGCACACAGACACGTACAGGGATATTCATGTTTGCGTGTTGCCTGTCAAGGTAAAGAGATCATGACAGGAAACTCAGGCAAATGACCTAGCTTAAGGGGAATAGACAGCCACCCCAGAACCAGTCTACACCAGCATGGCTCTCGGGCAGAAACAAGGCTTACTGTGTGGTTGGCGCCACAGGCTACGTCTCGAACCACCACATTTGGGACAGGCAAAATCTGCCCATCCTTGGTCTTCTCGATGAAGATGGCCACCCGCCGGGGCACCAGCTCACAGTCGTACTCTATCCGCTGTGCCCGGGCAATGAACTTCCCATCTGAGTTGTGTCCTGTGGGGAGAAGAACAGGCCATCAATGACAGAAGGCCCAGGCCCAGGCCCTGGCCCAGGCCCAGGGAGCCGCCCTGCCTCTAGCCAGGGACCCACCTAGATAGTCAAGAGCTTGGAGGTACCACAGACCACTCCTTAAAACACATACAAAATAAGGACACCAGATGCAGTAGGGCCAAAACTCGGGGAAAACTCTATCATGCAAGGACTATGAAGCAAAGAAGGCAAAGGAAACTGTCCTCATGTGGCTTAGGTCACAACACTGACGGCTCTCACCCTAAGAACAGTCCACCAAGCCCCCAGTTGGGGAGCTCGGAGGACCTCTGGAAGGAAATGGATGGACATGATCACTTAGCACAAAATCCTCCTCCATTCCTGTCTACAAGATAGCAATAATTTAAACAAAGGACACAAAAGCCTGGAGTTCACAAAGCACCTGCAGGACATGAAGGACCGGGCAGTACTAGCTCCATTGCTGGAGGGCCGGCCAGGCACTGCACGAAGCCCAGTGCTGGTGCCCCATGCCTGCAGCCCAAGGACCCAGCACTCTCTGACCTCTTGCGTTGGTGGTATATCCCGGCACTCAGGAGGTGGAGGCAGAAAGAGAAGTAAAAGCCATCCTCCGCTACAGAGGGAATTTAAAAGCCAGGCTGAGCTACATGAGTGTCTCAAAAACAAACAAAAGGGGCTGGAGAGATGGCTCAGTGGCTAAGAGCACTGACTGCTCTTCCAGAGGTCCTGAGTTCAATTCCCAGGAACCACATGGTGGCTCACAACCATCTACATTGGGATCTGATGTCCTCTTCTGGCCTGCAGGTGTACATGCAGACAGAGCCCTCATGCTTGCAAAGTAAATAAAGGCCACACACGCACTTTCACACACACAACAAATAAAAACACCAAACAAAAACAAGCCTTGAGGTTGAGTCTGGATCCTGGCTGCTTTCGGCCCAGAACCTTCTCAGTCCCTGTCCCCGCCTGGCAGGGAGTGACTGTCAGGGAAGAAGTGTCACGGCAGGATCATGGCTGGTCCCCAGTGGGATGTGTGAGGACAGAAACACCCTAGACCACAACCCAGTCAAGCACAGCAGGGCGGGGGACTCAGTTTAGAGGCACAGTGCGTGCTTGTCTTCTGTAAGGCAGTCAGCTCAACCCCACACCACTAGGAGGCGCCAGTCAGCTAACAATCTTAAGCTCTTGTGTTTCCTCTCTACTAACCCGGGCTCTTATGTCCGGTCAGTGTTCTATCCAAGTGTTGACCACTGAACCACACTGTCCCAGAGGGCAGCAGGCACATACTGGAGTTCTTCCCTCCCAGCTCCTTTCAAGGAATTGCACTCAGCACAGTGCTGCTGCCACAAGGGCAGGAAGGTAGGTGTGTAGGTGTGTGTGTGTGTGTGTGTGTGTGTGTGTGTGTGTCCTTCCCAGGCCAGCCAATCACTGCAGCACAGCAAAAGGGAGCACAGCCCAGAAGCCTCTCCCCTGAAACCATGTTTGAACTCTAAAAACCATGTCTGTACTGAGACATGCCAGGAACAGAACTGGGGGATAGGGCCTGTGTTTTGCTTTTGGAGAAACTCACTATGAGGCCCTGGCGGGCTGGCCTGTTAACCCATGTAAATGCCAACTTCAAACTTGTTGCAATCCTCCTGCCTCTGACCCTCAGTGGCTGGGATCACAGGTGTGTGCTAGCACATTTCAGAGTGAACTGCAGAGTTCAGAACCAGGTTTTATAGATGGGGATCAAGCTAGATCCCTAACTGCCTTAGACAAAAACTCGGCCCAAGACACTGCCCACTGTGCTCAACTGTCCCTGCATAGCCACTCCACAAACGCCACCCCACTGCCAAGATCAAGTTCCTGAAGGCATGAACTCTGGCTACATCAAGATGCTTGTCTGAAGGTGGCAGGGAAGCTGCACACACAGCAGGAAGCACAGAAACCTACTTCCTGTGCTGGGCCCGAGTATGGCAGGAGGCCCGCCTGTGGCCATGGAAACTGTTTATGCAACAGCCCCGAGAACTCCCCGGCAACCCGCTCGGGTGTGCTTAGGGGCTAGTCCTTCTTATTCACTTCTGACGCGAGGTATATTTAGTTTCCAGAGTCACCGTTCCCTGCAGACTACAGCCAGTGCAATGCTCCGCTTCTATTTATACTTTCCCATCTGCGCACTTCTAATGACGCTGGGACCCAGCAACCCAGATCCTGGACTGGTGCAGGCTGTTCAGCCACCAGCAGGGGGAGCACACACCTTGCCTCCTGCTCAGGACTGGAGAAGGCACCAGGAAGTGCCTTGGAGTCAGAGGGGAAAGGAAAATGGAGACCTTGCAAAATTCAAGTGGCTTCCAGGCCTGCTGACCTCCTGTCTTCTGCTCTGTGCCCGCAGGGAGTCCACTGTGATGAGGGACGAGCTGCAAACACACCAGCTGCTCACCCAGCTAGGATTGTCAGAACAACCTCACTCTTATGTAATTCTCACTTCCAATAAAGGCTCATTTGTATACGTGAAAAAGGATGAGAGAGGCTCAGCTTCTATCCTTCTGTCTGAGACTCTCTTACGAGAGTTTCCAAACCAGAGGAATAGCACCTCTGCCAGACTCAGTCCTGGCATCTTCGCTGACCCCTGTGACCTGCAAGTCATCGGCAAGCTGTCCCGCTGAGCCTGAGATGCACTCAGCGGGCAGAAGCTACTATCTGGATCAATTACCCACGCCGCTAACGTGTGCACAGTGCCTTCTGGCTCTACATTTACAGTTAGATTACAGAGCTTTTAAGAGACTTCCATACCCAGCTGGCCATACTCAGGGCACCCAAAGGAATAGAGGTTTCCCTTGCAGTCCATCAGCATGCTGAATTCAGCCCCGCAGGCCATCTTGGTAATCGGCTGCCCATTGTACATGATCTGAAAAGAGAAGTCAGCCAACTTTCAGCTCTTCCTAATTCCACCCTGGCAAGAAGCAACTCAGGACAGTGGACTGCACATTTCGGAAGGCCGCCACTTGAGCACACATGTAGCACAAAGCTAGACTACAAAACCTGGTGACCCCCTCCCTCACAGGACAGCAAAGGATGAGAACAGGAACCGCTTTTGGGGTTTTTACACCTCAGAGTCTCCCTGCAGCAAACCTCAAGCACAGGGACCAGGACCGGAGACAGACACCTGGCAGCGACCACAGGGGCTCACCTCTGGTGCTAATATTCCTTGTTATCAGCCCCAACTTGGAAGAAACAAGCAGGGCTTCAGTGACACCCTCAGTGGGGCCTCAACAAAGGTGTGAGCCAGATGTGAGTGGCTCAAAAAGGAAGCACAAAGACAGTGCGTGACAGGCTGGTCCCACAGCACAGGGTTAGAAAGCAAGCACAGAACCTGGGAAAGGCCCAGACTAAGCATTTTATTTTTAACAGATGCTACAGGTGAACAAGACTCCCAGGTCCCCTTGCTCATTTTACTAAGTATCCAAGTACATTCCTGAACTCAGAGCTGGCAAATCAGGGGCCCTACATCATCCTTCAAACCCTATGGGCTTAGCTACTAGAAGACCCCATACACCCCCTAAGCCACTGGCTGATGGCATTTTCCAGGGAGGAAGCCCCCTGCAGACTTCATAAGCAAATCACAGCTCTTACTGGGTACTTCAGAGGACAAAGACAGCAACACAGTATCCATAGGGGAGGAGACCCTTACATCCCTACCACTGGGCTGACAGAACACAGGCTCTTTGCTCCACACTTTCCCTCCTGAAGCATCACTGTTCTCAACCAGAGCTACCCAAGCGCACAGCCCACAACCTTGCAGTTGTACCTGAGCAGGGCTTGGGACGGCATCTGTCTGGTTTCCAAGGCCCAGCTGTCCCATCTTATTCTCTCCAAAGGCAAACACAGTACCAGTGTCTGAAAGGAGAGAAAACCATGAAAAAAAGGGATGTAAGGGTGAATGTTTTTAACTGGAATTAGATCAAAATTATGCAAACAGTCCATTGATCACAGTGTGTGTGGGGGGGAGAAGGGCTTGCCATCTACCCCCAAGGATCACAAGGGTACAGAACAGAACTGAGCCCTGCCACACACAGAACCTGGTCTAGGCTCCCAGGGGGCTTAGGGCTCTCCTATCTTCAGGAAGCTGCCCACCCAACCAGGGAATTTTCTTCCTGATAGCGGCCCGCAAGCATTCAGCAACCTTACCCACCCCAGAGAAACCATCTCCAGAGCCTTCTGTTTCAGTTAAACGAGAGCCTTCTTACCTGTCAATGCCAGGGTGTGGTTGCGCCCACATGCTGCCAGCACAATTGCCTCATGGCTGAGGGCCTCAATTAGTCTGGGGGCTTCAACCCTTTTGGTATCACCATGGCCCAGCTGCCCCTTTTCATTCCGACCTGCAGGGAGATCACGGTTGGCTAGGTAAGCAATGCAAGGACATGCTGGGGTGCACGGCAGGGGCAGCTCCCACTCTCATGTCCCCCAAACAAACTTTCAACAAATCCCTGTAAGCAGGACAAGCCCAGCTACTCTCCCGGTGGAGCTGAACCCAATAAAAAGGGCCACCCCGAACACATCCCAACAGGAAGCGGTCGGTTTCAGAACCACTCCAACACACCCAGTCTCAGTTACCCCAGGAAATGCTTGGTTTGGCCTGGGTGCTCCACAGGTCTCAAGCTCCAGGAAAACAACACAACTGCCAATCCTTGTGGCAGCTGGGGACAGTCCCCTCCTCCTCAGGGAGGGCCTGATATACCATCATTTCTCCTCATCTGCACCCCACCCCCAGCACCTGTTGTAAGACCCAGCTACATAAACCCTCTCGACAAGGGACAGGCCTACTCTCAACAAGCCCCTTGTCTATAGAACACCTCCTCTGGACATCTGTTGTGCTGTACGTACTGTGGATGTGTGGAGGCTTTCACAATGCTCAGGAGCTCTAGGGAGCCCTGGTTCAGCTTAAGATGGACAAGGGGTGAACCCCAGAACAGCTGAAGCCCTGAAATCCTACCCAGGTTCCATCACAGAGCCAAAACAAAATCCCAAGAGGAACCCCGAGGACCCACTCATAACAGCACACAAGTAACTCAACGTGGAGGTTATATGAGGCCGGAAAGTGTGGAGTCCACACTGACCTTACCCAGTAGAGTTTTCCCTTCTAGTTAGCTTAGTCTTAAGACAGGTGAGTGAGCTGAGCCCTAACACCCCACAAGAAGCAAGCACAACAGGTGACTAGCCTCCCTCACAGGGATCCCTCTGGGGGGATGTGCACCACATAAAGGGCTGGCTCCAGGGTCAGCACTGGACAGGTGCCAACTTCAAAAGGAGCCTGCCATGCCCAAGCTCAGTGAAAGGCAGGCTGCAGCTCAGGAGGCAGACAAGCACAGCAGCAGCACTCTGCCTCCTGTTCAGAATGCCTTCCGTGTCTCTAACAGTGGGCTCATGGTACTTCCTGGCCGGGTCTCTACAACCCCACGGATGCTCTGGGGAGACCCCTCTCCCTTGCTCTGGTCACAGGTTCAGCCCTGAAAGGCAATCTAGAACCTCCATGTCAACAAAACTCGACAAGGAGATCAGAGAGACACTGACACAGAGGCAATGGCCAGTGTTGCGCATGAAGTAGCAGGAGGGCCCTACACCGACCTGGAGAACACAAAAATTGGGGCAGATGTTGGTGTGTCACCTAGAGCCTGGAAGGATAAATTTGGGCCACACACACTTGTTAGATTTTTTTTTTCCAACAGAATTATAAAATTAGCCAAGTGCAGAGAAGACAGCAGATGTTAATATATAATATATTTGGACTCTGACACAGCAGCTCATGAAATCACAAAAAAAAAAAAAAAAAAAAAAAAAAAAAAAAAAAAAAAAAAAAA